TTCATCTGAGGCCGAGATCACACGCCAACGACCCACATAATCGCGTTTTTCTCGTGGCACACCCAATGCTGCCAAAATGGAAGCTAGCCAGTTCCGCTCAGAATGTTCTGTCCAGAAATTCAAGGAAGCGCGTTGTTGGAGCAATGGACCACCTGACACCCATGCTGAGCCATTCCATGATGGACTTGCAACATTGTGAGAAGGCGTTTGGACAAAGACACCACAGCCGCATAATCAGCCATGACATGACGCACGCCAGATTCATCCGCGTTGGGCAATGGCAGAAAATAGTCACGTTTGAACTGCATATCAGGGTTACACCACAATGCCCAACCATCAGTTAACCACGAAGGATTCATCACAAAGGCCTGAGCACTGATGAACAGATAGGAAACGCATTCTTTTGCCAGGGCCACTTGTCTTGGTGCGGTCCAAAATACCACTCAAACCTAGATCCGTCAGTCGCAAAGTGGCAGGATCCAGTCCAGACATGTCGCTGCAACGGCTTGCTGTCCACAACTTCACTAATTTGTAGAAGGCAAAACAACGAAGGTAGCAAGGCAAAGCGACGTCACTCACAGCGAGCTCCATGGCGCCAATCATGGCCACCAGCAGCATGGGAGCCTTACGCCGTGGCGGCGCTTTCGACTCTAAATCCGCTGTAAGCTGATTCACTGTGTTCCTGAGCACCTGAGAGTCAGAAAGCCGCTCCGCCGGGCGAACCGCTCCGACTTTTTCCATGAAAGCAAAGCTGGTCAAGATAGCTGCAGGTACAGTGCGCGCGCAAGGTTCCAAACGCCTCTCGTGCAAGTAGTCAAGGATGATGCCAATGTGAGAAGGCCACGCTGAACCAGACACAGCCAAGCACTAGACACATACTTTGCGCCATTCTCGCACTCGTTTGCGTATGGTTGATGCCCGTGCGTTGCCCAACGCAGCTACTAAAGCAGATTCACGGTGGCGGACCAAAAGCATCGGTTCCAAGATGGGTAAGTTAGCTGCCACCACCAATGGCGCTAACTCTTGTCGCCAGCGAGACAATTCACGCTCCTCCACTTCAGCTCTGCCAGAAGCATCTTCAACACGCGCCAATTGTCGGACGCGCCTCGACTTGAATTTGCCTTGCTGATGCTTGGCACCTGACTGCGCAAGCCAAATCTGGGTACAGGGCTCAGGGGAGGCTTTGGCGCGCTTTGACGATTGGATGACCCGCATGAATTTGGTGGAATCTGGTACCAATGCACGCCGGCGATGAAGTGTTTTCACAAGGCTGCTTGCATGAAATTGTAACTCTATGAGGGCGGCCCTCGCGTCCCTTTGCACGTCAATCGCAAGTAGCGCCGAGAATTGCTTGAGCAAACTGTCGAGCTCCTGCTCGTTGTCGAACAAATATGCCAGCACATCCGGGAAAGGGAGGCCACCCTCGCAACCAAAGGCATCACGCAAGCAGCGTGGCATTTTGCTCCATAATTGATGGCAGGCAACAGGCCAAGCCATCGCAGAAAGGTTCAAAAGAGAAACAACAGCACCAGCCACACCGGGCGCAAGGTCACACAAGCACCACACGAACGACACAACAAACTGTCGAACACAAGCTGGCTGATGCTGGAGAACTTCAACAAAACATTTGTGGATAATGGATCCAATAGAATGAAATCTTCCAAACCTTGACGCCTTGTACTCCCACAGGGTTACCAATGGAATAGGAACCCAAATAAATTAAGGGGGTGTTCATTGGGCAAATCCCTTTCTGTTGCACATTGCATGTGCACCTTCTAGCACCAGCTCCAGCAGCCGGTTGATTGCAAGGGTAGGCACCGCAAAAGAATGGAAAGGAAACTGTTGCACACATTGCGCACATTTGTCCCTCAGCTCCACCAGTTCTTCATTACAAAAGCCACACTGATTACGCAGATGCTCCACCAGCTCGTCCATGCCTAAACTTCTTAGCAAGGGATCCACGCCTAGGGCACTCAAGGCCTTCAACTGCAAGCTGCGCACAATGAATCTGGCCGAACGTACGTACTCCTCCAAGGAGCTTGAGGCACGCCATCTCCCGATGAACTCCCGCTGTTCGCGGGGCACACCGGCTGCTGCCAAGATGGAAACCAGCCAATTGCGCTCTGAATGTGCTGTCCAGAAGGACACTGCGTCCGGAGATGCGAACAAAAACGTATCAGAGAAAACCCACTTGCCTTCTGACAAAGTTGGAAAGCGCAAGCATCGCCACAGCTGCTTGGATAGAGATACCACATGGCCGTAAGAGGCCATATCACGGCGGCAACCAGAAAGATCCGGTTGCAAAAAAAAGGCAAGAAAAAGTCACTCTCGAAATTAATTTCTTCCGCTTTCCAAAGACTCATGCCCATTGTTTGCCAATCTGGCCGCAAGAAGAATGCATCCTTGGCAACAAAAATAGGCAGGAAGCTGCCCCCAAGGCCACCCTGGCTGATGCTAAGGCTGCTGGGACTCAAGCTTTCCAAATCTGAATGCCGGGCAGCTGCCCAAATTTTCAAAAGCTTCTAGAAAGCAAACCCACGCAAAAACAGCGGCAAGGTATCAGTGCAAACAGCTACTTCCAGCGCAGCAACAACCACCAGGGGTAGGAGGGGCGCCTGGCGCTTGGGCGGCGACCCTGTTTCCAAATCCATCGTCTTATTGTTCACGTTCTGTAGAAGAGCGCCTGGCGGCAAACAACACTACAAAGAAGAAACAACAAAAAACCCAAGAAAACACTAGACAGAAAACTTCTAAAGAATAAACTAGCACCTCAACTGCAAGAACAAAGAAAAGGCATCAACAGCAAAATACACACTCCACCCCTAGATGCCGATCACAGAATTCAAAGTTCAAAGTCCGACAACCGATCAACAAATGCAAGCAAAGAAAGTAGGATACTTAAATCAAAGATGCAATCCGGCAGTAAAGCTAAAGAACAACAACGACACAGTTTCACAAACTAGTCCAACTGACCCCCGGGCTCCCTTTCGCGCAATCCTTTCTGTTTGCAGCCAAGAGCTGATAGATCGGGGCAACGAAATATGTAGCTGCTTTGCAGCAACATCGACAGCTGCACCAGAGCTGACATTCAGTGCAGGGGACCAATCCAAACCCCCAAAAGGGAGGCGGGCGGGGCAAAATCACAACCAAGGCCGCAGTGTGGGCCACACACACACACACAAGTGTGGCCAAACATGCTCACACACAGCTGGGACCGCGGCTGCGGTTTCATACATTTCACATGACCTATAATGCAACAAATTCAGTGGCAGGCACAACACAGGAATCAAGGTACCAAAAACTAAAGCCCTACAAACTTCGAGCAAACCTCACAATCAATGGCACCCTGATCCAAGGTGGAAACAAAACCCAAACCGAAGGGTGACCAGGCGACACAACCTCGACCCCTGACATGAACAGGTTTCATCGGTTGTTCTCTTCTTGGTCGGTTTCCAATAAAGCTACATCAACAAGTTGAAGTCTGCTTATTGTTCACGTTCTGTAGAAGAGCGCCTGGCGGCAAACAACACTACAAAGAAGAAACAACAAAAAACCCAAGAAAACACTAGACAGAAAACATCTAAAGAATAAACTAGCACCTCAACTGCAAGAACAAAGAAAAGGCATCAACAGCAAAATACACACTCCACCCCTAGATGCCGATCACAGAATTCAAAGTTCAAACACTAAGCTGCAATGCACGCCCCCTTTTTTTCAAATGGATAGCTGCCACATGCTGGCTCTGCTGGACGACCCCAGCAGAGACCAGCACATCATAGCCCCCCCCATGGAGCCAGTTGCACTTGGGCAACACAAGGGGTTGGGAGGGTGGGGTTTCACAAATGATCTACTTGAAGAGCTACTCCCACTTGAATCACTTTCTGTATCCGATTCTTGCCCTGCGCGCTCATGCACCAAGCAACCAACACCACGCTGCAGCGGAACCCCAGGCCGCCAACCCGAATCCAAAACCTTAAGCAGTGCCCGCTGGCAGTTAAGTTGCGGGGTGACATCATCCCGACTATATCGCTGCGCACACTGAGAAAACCCATGATGCCTATGATGACCCTGCGCTGCACGCTCCACTGGGTCAACTTTGCATCGCAATGCCCAAGACAACAAAGTACATTTGAGAGAATGTAGCGAAAAGGTCCACGCAACTTCGCGTTCAAGCCCTGCAACTAAGACCAGGCATCGCCGAAACTGCGCCAGCATGATGGTATAAGGCATGGGTTTGCCATTCCACCCTATGAAGAAATCCTGCGGGACTGACTTACCTAAAGCGTTACGCACTAGTCACCTACAAGGTCCAAGTTATCCAAACTCTAACCCCAACTGTGTCAACCCTGAACGCGCAAGCAATTGTCTTTTACTTTGCGGAGTGGGAAAACATTGGGTGTACAGGCTTAACATAAGCCAAACACTTACACCAGAAGAAGGCATAGCATATGCCTGCCCAAGCATGGGCACAGACTCCTTCCCGCGTGCCGAGAGGGTGGCAGTGGGCGGGGCACGCAAATACAATCACAGAGGCAGTCTCAGCTGCAGGAACATCTAACAACACATCAACCCCTGTGACATACAACTGCGGCGCAAGAGTCAAGAGTCATCACAATGGCACAGAAACAAACAGGTGGCTAGACGCTTAGGCACGCAGTCCCCCTTCGCTGGACAAGAGTCCACTACACGGGACTGACTTACCTAAAGCGTTACGCACTAGTCACCTACAAGGTCCAAGTTATCCAAACTCTAACCCCAACTGTGTCAACCCTGAACGCGCAAGCAATTGTCTTTTTTCTTTGCGGAGTGGGAAAACATTGGGTGTACAGGCTTAACATAAGCCAAACACTTACACCAGAAGAAGGCATAGCATATGCCTGCCCAAGCATGGGCACAGACTCCTTCCCAACCGCAAGGTGACCCATGCTTGCATGCTTACTACATACAACGCGCGGACGCAGATTCGGGCCCTTGGGCCCTACACCTCAACACCAAGGATCAGTCTCCCGCAGCCCAGCACCCCTTGCTCTTTTCGCTGCTTTCTTTAGGATTTTCTTGCGCCCTTCTCGCACCTCCTTGAAGAGATGGGCACCTGCTTCAAGCATGTCATTCATCACAATGCCCTCAAACTCGTCCAAGCTGAAGCGCAATCTCAGCTTCGGGTCAAACCGCCGGTAGTCTTCGTTTGTGAGGCTGTCTGCTTCACGGTTCTGCAACCGTGGTGTCCACTGCAAGCAAAGATGCACGTTGCTTTGTATCATGCGCGCTGCTATCTCCATCAAGAATGCCATGAGTGGAAACTTGGTGGTCAACAACCGGTTTAGTACACAAGCATTGCCAAAGTTGTCTGTCGCAGCTGAGCAATAGATGACACCGCGCTCACTACCCTCAACTCCAAACAGGACACATCCCACAAGCGTCGCCAGCAACTCAAGGGACGCAATAGCCCTGAAAGGTTCATCGGCAATAAATGCCCACTTTGCATTGTGCCTTGTCAGGCGCTCACTGAACCACCTACATTGGTTCGTGCATGTGGCGTCCATCACTGCCCATCCACCAATCCAAACTTCATTCCCTTCGGCCTTGGCGTCTGTTCTGAATAACTCCTGCACTCTAGGCGCTTTTACACCAATGGTCTGAACCCTATGGCCATCCTGTAGCATCTTCTGCAAGAAAACTAGCACCAGACGCACTACCTTTGGCAACTTCAGGCGCTCGCAATGACTCACTGCTGTATGCCATGAATACAACGGGCCCAAGAAAGGCCGAAGAGCTTCCACTGCTGCAAATGTGAAATTCAAACGACCCAGCACTGACGCAAACTCCTTCAACGAAACCTCATCTGCATCACACGTGCGTTGTATCCAATCCACTATCCAACGCGCACGCTTCGCGCTGATTGCTATCTTCTTTGCTGCAATGTCAAGATGATAACCTACCCAATCAACATGTGTTCCACCTTGGCACTTCTTCCAAGAAAATGGCAATCCCACTGCAGATAGAAACAATAGCGCTACAGCGATAGCATCGGTTGCATCTCTCCCAGATGCAAGCCACAGTATGTCATCACATACGCCAAAATGAAGAGTGCTTTAGAACCCAGCATATAGTAGACAGCACGCTGCAATCCTCCGAGCAATCTTGACCAATGCACCGCAATGCTGGCAATCCCGAAGGTTCCTACCGTGTTCAGCCACACATGCTTTGCATTGCGCGATGTCTTGCACGCTTGTAGGCCCCACTCATCCTCTTTGACTTTCACAAGCCTGTGTGCTCGGCTTACATCTGTAGCCAGCACAAAAGTGGGGTGCTCCAGCTCCTTGACTGCTTGCCGCAAATCGCCTGCTGTGGGGCATTCCAACTGGTCTCGCACTCGAATGCGCCCATTCACCCCTGTGCCATGTGTCCCGTCATGTATGACTCGGTATACACCTTCACCCTTCGGCAATGCACCGAGGGATGCTACCCGCAGCCGCGAACCATATCTAGCCACGGCTTCATCCCAAGCCAGCTTGACCATGGCACCGCGCTCTTCTTCCTCCTGAAACTGTTTCTCAAGCACTTCTCCAGTTGCCTCGGCTGACGGATAATTGCTGCGCGGCTCTTCGTCAGGCTCTTGCTCCCCGCTATAGTCCCGGTGCTTGACTTTCCTGCGGAAAACAGCTGGTGTTCTAGGGAGCCTCTGATCCACTCCTATTGACACGCCCTTCGCAAATGAACTGCTTGCACTGTAAAAGGCGCGATAATCTGGATCACCTGATATGCGCAGAAACTCCTCAATCAACGCTAATCTAAACGGCTGCCCACTTGGAACATGGCCCAAATCAAGCATAGCAGAATTTGAAATGAGCGACTTTTTGATTGCCTGCACTGCATCTTCTAGGAGCTTTTCATCAAATGGACAGGACTGATGCTTGCCACAGGCCAGTTCATATAGCAACTTGCGCGCATCTATCCGTTCTCGCAAAAGCTTCTGCAAATTCTTGAAACACTGATCTGCCATGCACAATTGAGCCTCTTGTGGGGCGGCGCGGCGGTCGCTAGGGCACCAACGACCAGGTGAGCAGAGCCCAGCGCCATCCACAAATGGACGCGTCTTCCCCATTAAAGAAGAAGACAAAGGCGGGCCACTACCCCAGTTGCCTGAACCCAGCCGTGGCTTGGCTATCCCATCTTCATCCTCATCTGAAGACACCTCCTCATTCTTGTCAGCTTGCCCAGGAGGTGCATCAGCTGACGGGTGCCCCACTCCTCCGGGCAGGCCGCCAGCTGGCGCCCACTCAACTGGGTCCCCTTGGCCTGAAACCGCACAAGGGGTGGCAGACACAGAACAACTGTCTGCTGCTGACATCTGGCTCTCATCGCAGTCTACAGCCTCTTGCACCGAAGTCCATGTCCCAACCGCAGGCGAGTGCAACCGAGGCTGCTGCGCTGATACCAAGGCGACTTTAGCACACAAGCGGGACCCCTCCTTGGTCGGGGCCCCTGCAACACTTCAAGCAGCGCCAGCTTTGGCCGGCTTTTGAGGACACTGCTTCTTGCCATGCTCAGGGCTCTCGCAAATCTGGCACACATCTTCAAAACCACAATTACCATTGCATTTACCATTGTTCCACCGGAAACAAATCGGGCGGCCCGCTGCAGACCGTGTTTTGAGAGCGACTTTCTTCACAGCTCTTGGGTTACTTCCCTTTTCACCCTTTCCACTTCCCTTGCGCGGCCGCTGAAATGGCACCGGTGGCCCCGGTGGGAAAGCAATGGCTTCACTGGTGGCAGATGAAAAGAACTCGGCCGATGTTGTCAAAGGCATGACAAAATGCAGGTTCAATAGCTCTGGAGACTTGCACGCTGCCTCAATTGCACTGGCCACAGTGCTTACTTCTCTCACACGCACCAGCTGATAAGCTTTCTTGCGAATCTCTTGCTCAAAAGACAAAACCAGCTTCCATGCTGGCCGCCGCGCTGAACCACCCATCATCAAGGTAAGGTTGGCCACATGCTTGCCTAGGACAAAATCTGACAAACGACGAAACGCCTCCAGCAAATCTGTTGTCAAGCAAGGCTCATTCTTGTGCTTTGTCCGACACATCAGCCAGGCAACCGCGATGAGGCGATGGCGCTGCCTCAATTCCTCGCCACAATTGGGCAAAGCGACACGGGCCGTCCCAGGCCGGATCTTCAGATGCCCAGTCCCATGCTCAACAATGCTGCTGAACAAGTCAATGTCTTTGTCTTCCAAACACAGAACTTCTCGCAGATCTTCAGCTTGCAAGGCTCCTTGTTCTAGTTGCTCCAACTTTGTCGCCACCAGCGATTTGGCTGGAACCTCGCTGTCTCTGAGCGGACCCAAGTCAGCTTCTACCGCTTTCCTCATCGCCGCCATTTCTGACAGCTGAAGGACACGCTGTGCCTGTCCCAAGCGGCTCTCCACTTTCAGCTTCTCCTCCGTGGAAGCCTGCAGTCTCGCAGACTCCCATGCTGCCAGAAGGCTAGCCATAGCCACCCGCGCAGCCGCACCATCTTCCGGGTCAAGGCCGACTTCTGCGATCACCGCTTTGCGAACTTCAGCCCGCGTTTCATCCAAGCCAGCGAATAGCTGAAGGTTGATGAAGCCTTTGTGGAAGATAGCATCTTGCACCTCTGCTGGTACGTTCTTTTCGGCCAGGTGAAATTTCAAATCAGCAGAGGCCGCAGCCACCGCAGCTTTGCGCTCCTCGTCACTTAACTTGAGCAAGGGCATCACACAAGCAAAGAAAAGAATCGCAATTTCAAGTAACAAACTGCTACAAACTTAGCAGGACTTTTGCGCTTCACAAGCTGAGGCCGTGCATACACCGCGGTGAACATATGTTCTAAAGCATTTACAACAACACTTTTGGCGGCAAGGGCAACATATGCCAACTCAGTTTGCAGCCAAACACGCGGTAAGCAGAACTGCCCCTAACATGTTGTTAGGGCAAAACAATAAAAATCACCTGGTTCGACATGTTGTTAAGACATAACAACAGAACCAGCCTTTAGACAAACATGTCTAAAGCCGAGCAGCATGCAGGACAGTGGTTATACATTGTTGTTAGGGCATAACAACAAAACCACCCGGTTCGACATGTTGTTAAGACGTAACAACAGAACCAGCCTTTAGACAAACATGTCCAAAGCCGAGCAGCAAGCAGGACAGTGGTTATACATTGTTGTTAAGGCATAACAACAAAACCACCTGGTTCGACATATTGGTAAGACATAGCAACTGAACCAGCCTTTAGACAAACGTGTCTAAAGCCACCGCGTCAGAGCAGCATGCAGGGAAGTGGTTATACATTGTTGTTAAGGCACAACAACAAAACCGCCTGGTTCGACATGTTGTTAAGACATAACAACCTAACCAGCCTTTAGACAAACATGTCTAAAGCCACTGCCGGAAAATTTCATTCCTGCACGCCTGCTGGACGACAATCCAATCGACCAGCAAGTTTCAAGGACAGACATGGCTGTCAGGGGCGCGGTCAACAATCAGGCTAGGCTGTCATCCGTGCTACCTGAAGAGCTGGAACTTACAACGTTGTCTGCGTCCTCTGCTCTCCCATCTTTCCAGCAATGCCTGCAGGCAGCATCGTATTGCACACCTTTCAAATCGCTGAAACCTTCGAAGGTGGCGATGTTGCGCCCTGGCTTCGAGCCGCAGCCATTCCATCGATGCAGGCGGCGGTAGCGCCGGTTTTTTGTGATACACACAAAATACTTGTACTCTTCCTCCGAGGACAAACTTGCTGCAGACTCATTGTCACTTTCTTTTGCTGGTAGTGCTGCGCCGCCTGGCGCTTCGAAACTTTCCACAGGAGGAGGAGCGGACCAGCGCCCAACATCCAGTAGGCTGAGCTGGTCCTTGACAACAGATTCAGGCTCTCCGGCTTGGCGGAGGTGAAGCTCCAAGTCACTAAGACCAATACTCTTGACTTCGCCAGACAGGTCGCCAAGGACACCCGCAACTATATCACGCTGTAGTTGTCGCACAATACTGCGAGCGCTACGCAGATATTCATCACTGCAGCATGCCACCCGCCAACGGCCAAGGAACTCTCTCTTTTCCCTGGGGATGTTGAGCAAAGCTGCAACAGTGGCCATCCAACATCTCTCACTATGCTCAGACCAGGCGCGCCCCGCGCTGTGGCTGATCAAGAGGTGGCCTTCTGTTAGATGCCACGCGCTGTGCCGCCACGCGGGCAGCATCAACTGTTGATACAAGCCTTTGGAAAGGGTGCAAAAAGCAGTGTAATCAGCTATGCACGCACGACAACATTCCCAATCTGCAGATGGCAAGGGAAGAAAATAATCCCGGGGGAAATCCATATCCGCAGACTTCCAAATCCTAAAGCCTGTGGTGAGCCAGTCAACGCCCGAGAAAGAAGCTGCGGCATCAACGAAGATTGGGAGCCATTTCACTTTCTTGCCAGGGCCAGAAGTCTTTGTGCGCTGCAATGTGCCGGAGAGTCCCCAAGTGTCTAAAGTCAAGCTAGCAGGGAGCAGCCCAGCCAAATCATCCGTCCTGGATGAAGTCCAAAACTTCAAGAGCTTGACCCAAGCAAAAGCACGCCAATAGCGAGGGGCATTACTGAACACCACAAAAAGCTCCAAAGCAATCAGCAGCAACAAGGGTTGGGGCCGCGCTTTTTTCGGAGGGGCAGCGCCCATCTCAAGCTGCATCTGCAATTGGTTGGCGCAAGCTTGAACTGCTGTATTGGTTGCCAATTTTTCTTCAGAGCCATACCCACCAAGCCGTTCCATGAAGCTCAAAGTACAGAGGAAAGCATCGGGCACCGTAGCACCACAGGGCTGCGCGGCTAGTTCTTCTAGAAAATCTAGCACCATGGCAACTTGCGAAGGCCAAATCACATTGTACGCAGCAGCTAACCATTTTGTGTAGCGAAACCACATTTGCACATGCTTCTTCAAAGTGCTTGCTCTGGCAGTGCCACACAATCTAACGGCCAGCTTGCCTGCATCAGCTGCATCAACTGCAAGCAAAGCAGGAACAGATGCCTCAAGCAAAATCGATGCAACTTTGCCACGCCAACGAGCCAATTGGCTGTCTTCCAAGTCTGCCCTTGAGCGCCCTTCTATGGCACCACGTAGCCTTGGGCGCCCGATCGCCCGAACAGTGCGCTGCGCTCCAGAATGGCGCAAGAGCCATTGCAAAGACTCAACCGGCGCAACCAGTTCAGCGCGTGGCCTCTTCAACAAAGACAAATATTGAAGCGATGGGTGCAAATTTGCCCGGCGTTTGCGCTTCTGCTCTGCCAGTAGTTGTACTTTGTCCTGCAAAGCCTTCAACACCGACACAAGTAAAGATAGCTCCCCTGCGTCTGCTGCGAAATCAGCCAGGAACTGGCGCCGATCGGCATCGTCCAAGCATATGGCATCCAGCACTTCGCAATCCGGAAAGGAACCTGCTGGCCCAAGGCTGCACCTCAGAGATTGTGGCAAGCGCAACCACAACTCCTGGGCAGAAGCGCTAGCAACATCTGCCATTTGGCTTTCACTCGCATCTGTTTGGCTCATCACGAGCACAAAACAAAAGAGAAATGCAGCACGCAAATACAATCACAGAGGCAGTCTCAGCTGCAGGAACATCTAACAACACATCAACCCCTGTGACATACAACTGCGGCGCAAGAGTCAAGAGTCATCACAATGGCACAGAAACAAACAGGTGGCTAGACGCTTAGGCACGCAGTCCCCCTTCGCTGGACAAGAGTCCACTACACGTAGGACGTTGCGCCCGAATTTCAGAAATCACGTTGAAGAGGACATCACCCCAATTGCTTGCAGCGCAGCCACAGCGTAACACACCCCAAGGCATACCCCGAACCGAGGATTTGGTTCGCCAACACCACCCTCTGATAGAGGTAGCATCCGAGGTGATGGATTGTAAATCTAAACGTTGAAGATCTGACCATCTCAGACTACCCCAGGCCATAAGTAAGATGGCGCAAAGTAAAATTCGATCATCACCACTTGCGCCTGCGACTACCTGCTCAAGTTTTTCTAAAGCAAAAAATGGAATCGGCACCGCTTCCTTCACTCTGCTGTGCTTCCACTTGTCACCTTTTTTCCAGCTCTGAATCATGGGCTCACGTAGCAATGTCTGCAAACTTTCCAAACTTAACTTTGCAGCGGCAAAAGTCATGGCGCTCAAAACCCCCAGAGCATTGCGCTGTCGAGCATTACCGCGGTCTTCAAGCGCGCCAACACTTAAACTTTCCAAAAAATCAAGCAAAGCTGATATTGGCGGAGCACCAGGCTGCAAATCATGTATAGAACAAAATGCTACCCACAAGCGCCATCCACTCAGATGGCGGCGTAGAGTGGAAGGTGCACGATCCAGAAACAATTGCCGCAAGCTCATTGCAGATGTCGATGAAAAATCACAAGCAGAAGCGCTCGAAGACGCCAATGTCCTCGCAAAATCTGCCCAGATGCCTGCCAGGCGCGCACGCTCCTGATCCTCCCCAAGCTTGCCAGACGCCAGCCTCACCGGCAGTGTGTCAGCACGCGCACGAGCCTCAATTGGATCATCCTTAGAATCAGTAGTGCCAACTACAGCCGATTTACGAACGCTGGGCAAGCACAATCTAGCAGGGGGCCGCGGCAAGCCCGTACCCACGGGCAAATAGGGCGCCCGGCGTACCTGCCTCCTGGGTCTTTCAAGCGGCATCAAAACAGCAAAAAGAAAAGAAACAGTTTCACAAATGATCAAGCCCGATGCATTCATCCACTGCAAGCTGCTGAACAAACATCCACAGGGCAGCAGCTGAAACACACATACCATAAAGGGCTTGTGCAAGTGCAGCTGTAGTGTTGTTTCTTGCACTGAAAAGTGCAGGTGTCAAACACTAAGCTGCAATGCACGCCCCCTTTTTTTCAAATGGATAGCTGCCACATGCTGGCTCTGCTGGACAACCCCAGCAGAGACCAGCACATCATAGCCCCTAACTGCAAGGTGGCAGCCTGCTGGAAAAAAGGGGCACCAATAGCAATCCCCACTCAAGAGTGCCCCAAAGAGGCCCAAGGCTCAGGCAAAATCTCCATAAGATCAAATTCTACCCGAAGCAAAGGGTTAAAACCTGACACCTTTCCACGGCTGAGGTCATCCGCCCAGCCATTGCGCTCTCCCGCGCAATGTGCAGAGGTGAGCTGCACACCGTGTGCCACTGCATGATAACTGATGGCCTGTAACACAAAAGCAAGAGGTGCCTTCAATGATAGCATCTTCTGCGTCGATGCGGCCACGGCAGCATTGTCGCACAACTGCCTCATAAGCAACACATGATGAGCCGGAGACTTGATCCCACGCACGCGCCCTAGCAAGAGCAAAAGCTGCCCCAGATGCCCAAAGAAATGCTGAACCAAAAAACTTGATCTTGGCGCGCGCTCTCTGCAGTAGGCGCCCACCAGCCACCCACACCAGCAACTGATGTGGTTGCAAATGCATCTGCTGCGCAAGGTATGAACGATTCTTCAATACGTCTTAAGGGGATAGACTGATGCTTAGCCACAGCATTATAAAAAAGCTTGCATGCTCACATGGATGCCAAATTTGTAGGGACAGAAACACTGCTGTAGTTGTAGAAAACACAATCTACCTGTCCTCGCTTCAAACGTGGAGACACTAAGGCATCCGCACCCAATGAAGACATGGCGCAGTTGGCGACAGCATGCAACACCCATCCTTGCTGTAGATCGCAACATTCCATGTGACCTGTCAAAGCTAACTTCGTGTCCATCAGTTGACGCAGCACCTCAAACTGATGGGGGGTAACTGATCTGAATACGCAGCGTGGTTTATACAGCAGATGATACAGAGCTTGTAGCCAAGGCCGCAGATGCACAGCACCACCCGAGTACCATAGCAAAAGACCAATAAGACGTTCAACAGCTTTGCGGTCCACCTTCTGTCCAATGGTGCAAAAAGGGCTCAACGCTTCCAGAATTTTCTGCGACTTGTCATCCGTTAACTGTATGTAACCAGATGAAAAGCAAAAACGCCATCCGATCCAAACTAGCTCGTCCCCCAATTTAACCTTCTTCCAGCTCAAAGGGACACCCAAAGCAGTCAGAAAGGCCAAGCAGGCCGGAGCAAGAAGTGGAGCAACATCCTTAGGAACCAACACCAGGCCGTCATCCACGTAAAGGAAGCAGGCGTGAGAAATCCAGAGAAATCTGTGCAACATCCTCACTAGCCAGGCCCCCACGCGAGACCACCAGTATGCCGAATACTTTGCACCGAAATAGCACGAACGGTAAACGAAAAAATCGTTACCCAGCGCGAAACAACCGAGCCCCTGTTCTTCAGGCTTGACACGAATCAGCTTGTGGGCCGAAGCAACATCAAAGCTCAGAGCAACCCAGGCCGAACCACTCCCGGACTCTGACAAAAATCTTTGCACGCTGCTCAAGCCAGGAAGACGCGCTTTCTCAGGAATAATGCAAGCTCGATTTGCTCCGCTGATACCTCCATCTCCAATCAGCCGAGGTTTACGGCCCGGAGCTTGTACAACGCCAAGGCGACCGGCAGCAACATTCGAACCCCACTTCTGCACTGCTTCAGCAGCACCACCAGGAAGAATGTAAGCAAAACCAGCAGAAACATCTTTCATGAACAATTCACGCGCGAGCTCAACATTGTCAGCAGCACTTCTCCAGGGAACAAGGTGAACGAACAATTCATTGTCGAGCTCAGTATCACAATCTTCTACTGCATCCCAAACACCGGATGCAGGTATGCTGGAAAGAATGCCAGTGGGAACGCCCTCTGTCAACAACTTTGGCAAGTCTTTGTCCATGTCAAAAGTTGCACGTGTCAAAGCCCGCCAAATGTCCAGCAAAAAGGGTTGGTGAATTGGAATCTCACAGCTGCAAGGAAAACCTAGTGTGTCTAAAGCTTGTGCAAGACTACCTTGAAGCTGCCCCTGCTCAGATTCAGAGAACAAATGTTGTTCTGAGCCTTCGCTAATATGCCTCAAAAGCCGGGGCACAACACCCCAAGACCGCATCCAATGCAAAAACTTTCCGCGCAAATATTTCAACCTATCTACAGGTTCCTGAGGGTGAACCCAGCATGCTGTAGATATGCGACCACCACCATCTGATGGGGATGAAACAAAAGGAAGCCAACGAGGAACTTTTCGCAGGAGCCAAATCTGCGCAACAATGTTGGTCAAAATTTGCTTCTGGGCGGGCATCCCTTTGGCTGCCAGTGCCATATTGTACCTGAGTTGCCAAAACAGAACCGGAAGACGCAGCAGAGCACACCACAGCATCTTGGGCAACAACAGTTCCATGATCCGCACAGGGATTTCTAGGAACTTTCACTTTTCCAACAATTGCCAGCATTCAACTATCACCAGGAAGATGCACAACAGGCCCAAAACCCCCCTACCTGAGACGCAAGGCGCATTTTTCTCATTGGTGGATAAAAAACACAAGTCTCAAACCCGGGGCCAACACTTTATACCAGCTATGCCCGGTCCCCACCTGTGGTACACACAGGATCCGCCTTGGAATTTGGGGGGTTGGGTTGGGGGAGCCAAAACGTAGAGGCACCCAACCCCAAACTCCCTACAAAATGGTTTTTAAATGTTTTTTTGATGAAAAACATTTAAAAACCATTGTGTAGCAATTATTTTACAAACCATTTTGTAGAAATAACTTCAGATATCTTCAGATTTCCAGGAATTTTATAAACCATTCTGTAAGGCTCAGTCATTTTTGAATCAATGAGGTAGCATTTTCCCAAAAAAAACTACAAACAATTTTGTAGATGTATTCGTTGTTTTTTGAAAAGTACCAAAGCCATTTTGTAAAGCAAGCCCCAATCCCTGGCCAAATCCCCCCAAAAAATATAAAACCATTTAGTAGTATTCCTTGAAAAAAACAAAAGTTTTTCATTTTTCTGAAAAAACAAAACAATTTTGTAAAGTTGTTCGGCACATAAACCCATCTGTGAAAGTTCCCCCCAAAAAAACAAAACCATTTTGTAAAACCAAACCTATTTGTGAACTATGGATTGACATTTTCAAAAAAACTATAAACCATTTTGTAGGTTTGTTCGTTGTTTTCAGCAAAAAACTACAAAACCATTCTGTAAGGCTAAATCATGCGGCTAAATCTATATATATATATAATCTGTTTCTATCTGCATGTAAAAGATTGTAAAAATAGATTCCAGATGATTCCAGAATCATCATGAATCATCCAGAATCCCCTTCCCACCACTATCATCCACTATCATCATCTATCATCCAGTATCATCCACTATCCACCGCTCCCATCACCATGCATCACCATGCATCACCAATATTCACCAATCATATCCAATCATCACCATGCATCACCAGGCACGAAACCATGTGAAAATGGCGGTTGTTTTTTTTATCCTTGTGGCTGCGGCACTTTGTCGTTCCATTCCTGAATAGCTACGTATAGCCAAACTACCGGCAGCAAACCTCTGCCTGCACTGGCTGCACCCAACTGTCTCACATTTCACAAAACAATATAAAACAATGCAAAGCAATCCCACTTGGAATTTGGGGGGTTGGGTTGGGGGAGCCAAAACGTAGAGGCACCCAACCCCACCCCACTACAGAATGGTTGAAGGCTCCCTACAAAATGGTTTTTCAAATGTATTTTGAGGAAAAACACTTCAAATACCATTGTGTAGCAACTATTTTACAAACCATTTTGTAGAAATAACTTCAGATATCTTCAGATTTCCAGGAATTTTATAAACCATTCTGTAAGGCTCAGTCATTTTTGAATCAATGAGGTAGCATTTTCCCAAAAAAAACTACAAACCATTTTGTAGATGTATTCGTTGTTTTTTGAAAAGTACCAAAGCCATTTTGTAAAGCCAAACCCAATCTCTGGCCAAATCCAAAAATATTTGATAAAACCATTTAGTAGTATTGATTAAAAAACAAAAGTTTTTCATTTTTCTGAAAAAACAAAACAATTTTGTAAAGTTGTTCGGCACATAAACCTATCTGTGAAAAGTTCCCCCCCAAAAAAAACAAAACCATTTCGTAAAACCAAACCTATTTGTGAACTATGGGTTGGCATTTTTCAAAAAAACTATAAACCATTTTGTAGGTTTCTTCGTTGTTTTCAGCAAAAAACTGCAAACCCATTCTGTAAGGCTAAATCATGCGGCTAAATCTATATATATATATAATCTGTTTCTATCTGCATGTAAAAGATTGTAAAAGATTGTAACAGATGATTCCAGAATCATCATGAATCATCCAGAATCCCCTTCTCACCACTATCATCCACTATCATCATCTATCATCCAGTATCATCCACTATCCACCGCTCCCATCACCATGCATCACCATGCATCACCAGGCACGAAACCATGTGAATCTGGCGGTTGTTTTTTTATCCTTGTGGCTGCGGCACTTTGTCGTTCCATTCCTGAATAGCTACGCATAGCCAAACTACCGGCAGCAAACCTCTGCACTGGCTGCACCCAACTGTCTCACATCTCACAAAACAATAAAAACAATACAAAACATTCTTCATAATCTTCACAAAGTCACTACAGATTGGTTCTGTAATTTTCTTGGAAATCAGCACTGAGCACTGAAAATGACTACAGATGGGTTTTGACATTTTCTTGGAAATCAGCACTTATCACAAATGAAACCACAAAGTCACTACAAATTGGTTTTTCAGTTTTCTTAGAAACCAGCACCGAACCACCGACAAAGTCTACAGTTTGGTTAATAATTTTCTTGGCCAAAACTGAATGGGCACTTTTTAAAAACCAAGTCACTAAAAAATGTTCTGTAATTTTCTTGGAAATGAGCACTGAGCACTGAAAATGACTACAGATTGGTTTTGTAATTTTCTTGGAAATCAACATTTGGCACTTTGAGAACACAAAGTCACTACAGATTGGTTTTTGAATTTTCTTGGAACCCAGCCTCAACTGGCCGATAATGTCTACAGTTTGGCTTATGAATTTTTCGGCCAAAACTGAATGGGCACTTTTTAAAAACCAAGTCACTACAGATTGGTTTATGATTTTTTTTGGGCACTACAAAATGGTTGCACCCAACCCTTCCAAAAAAACTTTAAAAAAAACTATATCATTTTGGTTCCGTTTCTGGGGGTTAACCCCTACCATTTCGCAGAGGAAATTCCAAGGGGGATCACACAGGATCAACCAGCTGGTCACCAGCAATGCACGGTCCCCACCTGTGACACCCACAGGATCAACCAGCTGGATTTTTAGTCGAGGCGAGGAAAACCATCCCCACCTAGAAGGCGCCCGAGACTTGTAACCACACACTATAGGCCCTGCAATTCTTTAGCCCCACGGGTCCGATACCCTCAAGCCGTCAGTTCTGCGACACTTGGATCGCTGCTGCACCAACGGCTCACGCCCGGCCCTTGTTTGGCCTATTTCTTCATAAAGATCCTGTCCTGCTGCCAAAACCTGATTCAAAACAATGCCTTCAAATTTTGCTACGTCGAACCTGCAACGCTTTGCTGGATCGAAGGCAATGTAACATTGGTTCGTCAAGGCATCAGCTTCTTCATTTTGCAGCCGCGGCAGCCAGAATAACTCCAGGTCTGCCTCCTGCCTCTGCAGCTGTAGTGCCAACTCCATCAAGAAGCAAGCCAAGGGAAATTTCGTCGTAAGCAACCGCGCCACGACCATGGTGTTCCCAAGGTTATCCGTACCCGCGGAGCAACTCACGCTACCACGAATGCACTCAGGAATGCCAAAGGTCACCACGGCTGCTAATGTTGCTAGCAATTCTAATGATGCAATCTGCCTGTAACATTCACCAGCGGCAAACAACCAGGGGGCGTTGGTATGGTCTAACTGCTCAGAAAACCAGCGGCAACGCTTTGTGTCAGAGTGACCTAGAGCCCAGCCCCCCAGCCAAATCTGATTGCCTTCTGCCTTTGCATCTGTACGGAAAAGTTCCCGTACATGGCCACGCTTGCTTCCAACCTTAGCCAAGCGGCCTGAGCCGTCCAACGCCGCCGCCAAGAACCTGAAGATTAAGACCAATGCCTTTGGGACCTTACACTCTCCAAAGCCGTTCATTGCGGCAACCCATGCGTAGATGGGCCCTAAGAAAGGCCTCAAATGCACCAGCGCTGTTAAACCAAAGGACAGGCGCCCAACAACAGAAGCAAGATCAGCAATCTTCACTGTGCCACGCTGAGCGGTTGCTGTTAACCAATTGATGAGCCATTGAGCGCGCAACTCTGATAAGCCCAGCCTCGCGCCTTTCAAGCACAATTGGAAGCCGACCCACTCCACATCTATGCCACCCTTGAACTTCTTCCACGCAAAAGGTAAGCCCAAAACTTCTAAGTAGAAGATAGACATCACGATGAGTTCCAAACCCTTTGCCTCACGAACCATCCACAGGAGGTCATCGACATAAACCAATAAGAAGAGCTCTGACTTCCCAAGTGCGTAATACACCGCTCTCCCTACACCACTCATTAGCCGTGACCAGTGGTAGGCAGCCGAACTGATCCCAAAGGATCCGACCCGGTTCACCCAAATTCGGCTGCTTGTTCCAGTTTTGCAGGCCATGAGCCCCCAATCTACTTCCGCCACCTTCACCAGTCGATGTGCTCGCGCCACGTCTCCAGTCAAACCAAAATAGCAGCCTGGTAGTTCTTGCATCACTGCTTTGATGTCTCCAGCACAAGGTGATTTCAGTTGATCGCGTATCTTGATGCCCGGGTTGATCCCAACCCCATGTGTTCCGTCATGAACTACCCGGAACGTACCATTCTTCTTTTCTATTGCACCGAGCGATGCAACAGCTAGCTGCTCGCCAAACCTAGCTTGAGCTTCTGCAAAGTCTAACTGCAACATGGCGCCCAGTTTTTCCTCTTCCTCAAATTGGCGTTGCACCACGGCGGCGTGATCCCGCGCCGAGACATAGTTCTCCCGGTCGCATCGCCAATCACACTCTTCCTCCTCATATTTTCGCCACCTTGTTTTTCTATCGAAAACTGCTGGCACCCTAGAAGTTTTTGATTTGAAGCCCACACGCACACCATGCACAAAAGAAACGCTGGAAGAGTAGTCTGGGTCACCGCTGATTCTCAACAGCTCCTCTAGCGCAGCCAAGAAGAAAGGTTGCCCTTCCGGCCTGCTCCTGCTCTAGAGCGCAGAAGAGTAGTTCCCTGCCTTCCTGTACCAGCTCATCGCAGAAAGGGGACTTTTCCAGTCTTCCTAGGGCTAGCTGCAAGGCTACTTGACGCACATCTAGGTTCTGATTCAATAGCTTCGTGTACTCCTTCCCTAGTTGCTCAGCAAAACCTAAAGATGCGCACTCTCTTGCACACAGCCTCCGCTGAGGCGCCCAACGACCCGGCGAGCACAAGCCCAGCCCGTCTGTGAAACTTTTGTGCTTGCCAAGCATTCTGGCAGCCAAGGGTCCACAGGCCTGCGCCCAGCTGCGGTTTTTGAAAGCCATCTTCATCCTCATCTGAAGATGCTTCCTGTTCTTCGCCCCTGCACGAAACCCTGGCCCCTTCTGCAAGCGATGCAGGGGCGGTTGCCGATTTGCCACGAGGGGGATCGGGTCCACACCCTCGGAGAGGGGGCACTTGCGGGCCTCCTCCGCCCACGTGGCCACACCCTCTCGGGAGAGGATTCCCAAGGCCTCCTTTGCCCAAGGATCCCGACCCTCCCGGCACGTGCAGAGCATCCTGTCCACCAGCGCACACACTCGGTTCATCGCTGCTTGGAGCTGCAACACACAAGGGCACTTCATCAACCGATAGTCATTCATCTGAACGCTGCACTTTGGGACACTTGTGATATGGGTGCTGTTCGCTGCAACGCTGGCAAATGTGCGCATAGGGGCAGGCCGGCCTCTCACAACCTTTCTTGCGATTGTAAGCAAAGCAAACATTCTTGCGACCGGTCTGACTTTTCTTTGAAATGCTTTTGAGAATGCCATTTTTTCCCTGCACCTTTGCCCTTACCTTTTCCTCCTCCGGAAGGACCTGCTACCACACTCTCAACCTCCAAGGCGGGTGCGCGAACCTGCATAGTGAAGGGGACAATGAAGAAATTGTTCATGATGTCCGGGGCTTTGCAAGCCATGGTGAGGGCTGAAGCCAAATCGGCCGCCTCGGCATCACGGACAAATTTGTAGGCATGCTTTCGGAGCTCCGCTTCATATTGCAAAACCAAACTCCAGGCAGGCGCTCTGCCATCACCTGAACGCAAATCTGCAACCCGAGGGCCAAGAACGTGATCACTCAGCTTGCGGAACGCATCTGTGCAGCGCTCAGGAAGCCAAGACCGGTTCATGTGCTTGGAGCGGACCATCTCCCAGGCCAAGCCAATCCGCCGATGTCGACGCCTCAATTCCTCAGGTGTTTTTGGGGGCGTGGTCATCGTGCGACCAGGCTTGATCTTCAAAACTGACGATGCTGGGTCTATGATGGCGTCATAGGCCTCAGTGGCTGCATCCTCCACACTGGTCACATCACGCAGATCTTCAGGGTAAGGAGCATTCTCCTCCACTTGCTCCAGCTTTGCCGCCAGCAGCGATTTGCTCGGGAGCTCGCTGTCGGACAGTCTTCCATGCCATGGTTCCACAGCCGCTGTCATGGATGCCTGTTCTGTGGATTGCACCAGCCGGGCTTGCACACCCAACTTAGAATCTGCCTTGTTTTTCTCATGGATGGAAAGCTGCAAGCGTGCCGCGTCCCAAGTGGACAGCAGGAGGGCCATGTGTTTGCAATTCTCCGCACTGGCCGCGTAGTCCAAGGGCAACAGCGAGGCCAACATTTTTCGCACTTCGCCTTTGGATTCTTCAATGCCCGCAAAAACACGCACACTGGTGAAACCTTTGCTGTAGACCAGTTTTTGAATGTCGCGAGACACACTCGCTTCGTCCATAAGAAATTTCAACTCTGACTCAACTGACTTGAACAGCTCCTCTTCCGTAGGGGTCGACATGGTTGAAAGTCACCTGCCAGGGCAAGACAGGAGTCACGAGAAGACACAGGGAAAAATTATCACCTTACCACAGCCCCCAAACTAGGCGGCTGAAACGAAAAGGACCGTGGCTCCCTTACCAGGGCTCCACCTTATGCAGGCCTAACGCCTTTTCTGACTTTTTTTTCCCGAGAGCGTCTGAGCGCAGGGTTCTTCCAATAGTGGGGGTCTGTATCTCATCTTCTCATCTTCACACCTTCTCATCTTCACACCTTCTCATCTTCACACCTTCTCTCACACCTTCTCATTTTCACATCTGCTCATCTTCACATCTTCTCTCACATCTGCTCTCACATCTGCTCATCTGCACATCTGCTCATCTTCACATCTTCTCTCACATCTGCTCATCTTCACATCTGCTCATCTTCACATCTTCTCTCACATCTGCTCATCGTCACATCTGCTCATCTTCATATCTTCTCTCACATCTGCTCATCTTCATATCTTCATATCTCACATCTTCTCTCACATCTTCTCTCATCTGCTCATCTTTCTTCATATCTTCTCTCACATCTTCTCTCACATCTGCTCATCTTCACATCTGCTCATCTTCACATCTTCTCTAACATCTTCTCTCACATCTGCTCATCTTCACATCTTCTCTCACATCTTCTCTCACATCTCCTCTCACATCTTCTCTCACATCTGCGCATCTTCACATCTGCTCATCTTCACATCTCCTCTCACATCTTCTCTCACATCTGCTCATCTTCACATCTGCTCATCTTCACATCTTCTCTCACATCTGCCCATCTTCACATCTGCTCATCTTCACATCTGCTCATCTTCACACCTTCTCTCACATCTTCTCACCTTCACATCTTCTCTCCTTTCTCTCTCCTTTTTCTCTCTCTCGCCTTCTTTATCTTTCTCTCTTTAAGCCGAGGGTGGTGCCGGCGGAGAGTCACGAAACGTCAACCCTTTCGCACGAAATGAGGGTCGATCGTCAAAAACTGATGTAAAATTGCGATTTTACTTGTGCTAAAGCAACCCTTTCGCACGAAATGAGGGTCGATCGGCAAAAACTGAGGTAAAAGTGCGATTTGACTTGTGCCGGAGCAACCCTTTCGCACGAAATGAGGGTCGATCGGCAAAAACTGAGGTAAAATTGCGATTTTACTTGTGCCGGAGCAACCCTTTCGCACGAAATGAGGGTCGATCGGTAGAAACGGAGGTAAAATTGCGATTTTTCCTGTACCGGAGCAACCCTTTCGTCTGTGTGTAAAAGCGTCTGTGTGTAAAAGCGTCTGTGTGCAAAAGCTTCTGTGTGTAAAAGCGTCTCTGTGTGTAAAAGTCTCTGTGTGTAAACGCGTCTGTGTGTAATAGCGTCTGTGTGCAAACGCTTCTGTGTGTAAAAGCGTCTCTGTGTGTAAAAGTCTCTGTGTGTAAAAGCGTCTGTGTGTAAAAGCGTCTGTGTGTCAAAGCGTCTGTGTGTAAAAGCGTCTGTGTGTAAAAGTGTTTGTGTGTAAAAGTGTTTGTGTAAAAGCGTTTGTGTGTAAAAGCCTCTGTGTGTAAATGTGTTTGTGTGTCAGAGCGTCTGTGTGTAAAAAGCGTCTGTGTGTAAAAGCGTCTGTGTGTAAATGTGTTTGTGTGTCAAAGCGTCTGTGTGTAAAAAGTGTCTGTGTGTAAAAAGCGTCTGTGTGTAAAAGTGTCTGTGTGTAAAGGCGTCTGTGTGTAAAAAGGTCTGTGTGTAAAAGCGTCTGTGTGTAAAAGCGTCTGTGTGTCAAAGCGTTTGTGTGTAAAAGCGTCTGTGTGTAAAAGTGTTTGTATGTAAAAGCTTAGAGGTGTTTAAAAGCTTCTGTCTGTAAAAGCTTCTGTGTGTAAAAGCTTCTGTGGGTAAAAGCTTTGTGTGTAAAAGCGTCTGTGTAAAAGCGTCTGCGTGTAAAAGTGTTTGCGATGCAAACTATTGTCTTGCACTTCTCACTATTTTGTCTTGATACTCCTCTTCTCGACTGCCTATAACACAGCTTTCATATACCGTTTCTAAAATTGCATCTCCATACTAACAAGAGAAGACCCTGCTCCTCTACGCTCTCGGGCCATCCGTCGTCTAGTTTTTTTTTTAAATAAAGCAACACCAACACCTCCATCACACTCCGGCCTTGGATCCCAGCTGGAAACGTGTGAACGCACCGGAATATGTTAACGCCAGACACTGACTGCACTCTGAGCCGTAGCCATCGGGAAAATGGGTATGTTTATAAATGTGATCACAGGTTTGTTTCTTGTTTGCAAGGGCAACGACTAACCCAAACCTATTTCAGCAAGCACAATCTCTAAGAGAAATTGGAATCGCTGGTTGACACGATTTTGACGCTGGCCCAAAGTGTAGATACCCTGACACTAACCTGGGACAGCAAGCCAACCGCAAGGGATACCTCCCTTTAGTTTTTTTTTCCCACCCTAGAGAAACGCATGCGCGGGGGTCACACACTAGCTAGCTATTGCTAGAAGAGTTCGAGCTGGAGCTTTCGCTGCTGGAAGAACTTGCTTCGCAAGCATGGATATCTGTCGGGCAAGCCTCCTTGCGCCAGCAATGTTTACAGGAATAATCATACACCGCGCCTTGAAGAGTCTCCACCCATTCAACCTCATGCAACTCAGCCGGGTCAGTGCCACAGCCTCCACGACGATGCAAGTGGCGCAAACGTTTCTTCCCTACAATGGCAATGAAATAAGGCGAATCAACACCCTCGCGGTCCTGTTCCAATGAAGAAGGAATGGCAGGTCACAGTGCTGGCACCTCCTCCTCAGGGGCTGGTGGCAGCGGCCCCCGATGCCACTGTCGGGGTAGCTGTAGCAAGTCCTTTTGTGATGCTGCTACACACTGGTGGACACCACGCGCTATCAAAAATTCAGGCAAATCTTCTAAGCCACCATTTTGCAGATTCCACCGCTCATCACGCATCATGCCTGCCAAAGCTTGTTCCTGAAGGGAAATTACCATAGTTTTAGCAGTTCGCAGATATTCGTCAGAAGCCGAAATTGCACGCCACCGGCCAATGAACTCACGTTTTTCACGCGGCACTCCAATGCTAGCCAACACTGAAATGAGCCAGTTCCGCTCCGAATGCTCCGTCCAAAAGGCCAAAGTATCACGCAAGGAAAAGAGATAATCAGACGACGAGGCCCAAACTTCACCCGTCCACATAGGCACACGCAATTGGCTGAGGAATTCTTTGTTCAATGCTATTGTGCGCGCATAGTCGGCCAAGCTGCGCCTCGCACCAGAGTGGTCTGCCCTAGGCAGCGGCAAAAAGTAGTCGCGCTGAAACCCCATGCTCTCTTGCTGCCAAATGGCCCAGCCGTCCACCAGCCAATTTGGGTTCATTACGAAGACGCGGCGGCTGATGAAGATAGGTAAAAAACGGATCCTCTTCCCGGGACCGCTGCACTTGGTGCGGTCCAATGTGCCCTGAAGGCCATGCTCTGACAAGCGCAATGAGTCAGGGCTCAAGCCAAATAAATCATTTGTGCGGCTGGCAGTCCAAAGCTTCAACAATTTGTAAAAGGCAAACCCACGTGTATAAGTCGGCAAAGAGTTATCACTGACAGCCAATTCTGTCGCCCCTATGATAGACAGCAGCAACATGGGCGCTTGTCGCTTGGGCGGCGCCTTGCTTTCCAAGTCAGCAGTCAGCTGGTTGACCGTGTTTCGCAACAAAGAAGCTTCAGACAAACGCTCTGTGCGCCGGACTGCACCGACCTTTTCAATGAACGACAAGGCTGCTAGAAAAGCTGCTGGCACACTGCGGGCACACGGTTCCAACCGCCTTTCATGCAGGTAATCCAAAACGACGCCAATGTGTTCGGGCCACGGCTTTCCAGATACTGACAAGCAAAATGCGCGAGCTTTCCGCCACTCTCTGACATGCTTGCGAATGGTGCTCGCTCTAGCCGGGCCCAACGCACCAAGCAGCACTGCGTCTCGGTCACGGACCAAGGCCATGGGCTCAACCACGGGTAAAGCAGCATCCACAATCAAAGATGCAAGCTCTTTACGCCAACGCATCAATTCTTGTGCTTCCACGGCCTGGCGAGATTCTTCTCCTGAAGCTCGCGCCAAGCCCCTGGCTCGGCGGGTCTTGTACCGGCCCTGCCGCCGCAGGGCCCCACACGCTGCCAGGCCCGGCACCGTTTGCACCACGCCGCTTGCCACCACACACTGGCGCTTTGCTTCATTGAATATCGACAGCCATTTTACCTCCGAAGGGACCAATGCCCGCCGCTTGTGGAGGCAATGGATCGTCCGCTCTGCACGCGATTGCAATTCTAGCATTATTGCACGCGCTTGCAGCAACCCTTCTGCACCCTCACCAAGTATTGACCGCAACAAAGAGACCAATTCCTCTTCTGTATCAAAAAGGTATGCCATGGCATCATCCGGCAATAGTGCGCCGTCAGATCCAAATGCAGTTTGCACGCCCCGCTGCAACATGCGCCATAGCTCTAATGAAGAAAGCCCGGCCTGATTGATCTCACCATCTGACATATCGGTCTCACTGTCCATGGCCCCTAGCTCCCACCGGAGGAGCAAGGAATGCAGAAGGCAAAATCAAGAGGAAAACAAGAGGCAAACAAACACAACTCGAATGCAACCGCACCAAGTTGAACTGGAGGAATGCAACCGCACCCCGTCCAAAACATCAGCCCCCTGGTCCCCTCTAGAGCCAACATGCACCTTCTTCCTCAAACAGGCAATTGTAAACAGGGGCAGCATTAGAGACTTCAATCAACAATACCACCCCAAACGACATTATGTTTATGCGTTCCATCAAATCCCTCTTAGTTGCACGTTTGCGTGCACTCTGCAAAATCCGACGCCAGCAATGGCATACTGACCGCAGCTGCTTCATCATCTGACCCTGGCCCTAGTCATTCCCAGTCCTCATGTGCAAACTTGCACTCATCACCAAACCGACACTTGCCATCCTTTTGCCATGCATGGCACTTGCTGCGCT